AGTGGTAGTGGTAGTAGCGGTAGTGGTAGTAGTAGTAGTAGTAGTAGTAGTAGTAGTAGTGGTAGTAACAGCAGCAGCAGCAGCAGCAGCAGCAGCAGCAGCAGCAGCAGCAGCAGCAGCGCGGCAGCAGCACCAGCAGCAGCAGCAGCAGCAGCAGCAGCGCGCGGCACAACAGTAAGTATTGATTCCAATCTTAACCACACTACTACTAACAAACTCATGTTGCCCTTGTACCAATAACCAATAATTACGCTATTTGTAATGGTAGCCATGGCCATAGCAATTTTAAGTTGACTAAGAAAACTAGCAAGAGTATAAACTGCAAAATCCGCAAAGAACAATTATATAATAACCCCATTGCTATTAACAAAAACAATAAGCAGTAACAATAGCAATAACAGCATTAAGTGAGTGAGTGAGTGAGTGAATGCGCGGCAAGCTGCACGAGGTGGTACGTGCAGAAGCCATGCCTAACGCGCCGATCCCTCCCGGTTTCTCAGGAAGCTCCGCAGGCGTCATTGCTTCCTCCGCTTGGAGTTCACGCTGGCGAACGCCCCAACCCCAGAAACAACGCTCCGAGGTCGGCGAAAGGCCCATTTAAGCAAGAGGGTACGCAAACAATTTCGCACAAAGCCTCAACTAGGCAGGCCCGGGTCCGGAAAGCCGGCATAACGGCAAGGCAGCGTGCCATCCTCGCGGAAACCCGTGCGAAAAGACGCTTCCCCAGAAGGTCCCCCTTCAAGGTACTAGGCCAAGCAAGCAACATCACCTCTGCGTCGGGCAATGCGCAGCCGCGTGCTGAAGAAGCAGGCACGCCTCTCCACAGATGCCTCTGCAGATACTAGGTGCACTCCGTGACCCATGCACTCCGGGAACTCACTCATTCACCACCATTTTCCTGTGAAAACGGGAATGGTAGCAAGCAGGTCACTTTTCAGTATGCCCTCGGAGCTAAGGGGGTAAAGGCCAAAGCTGTGGCCAGCACCCTCCCCGGACGAGGGGTATAACAACATTAAGGATGGTGACGGTAAGAGTAACTATAGTCGTAGCAGTTTTCGTCGTCGTCGTGGTAGTAATAATACTCGTGAGTGATCTTATTTTCAAGAATACGAACTCAGGCAACAAAGCAGTAGTAATATATTTATACAGTATGAATAACCGTATTAATATCCATAGTAACAATACCTAAACCCTAAACATTAAACCCTAAAACCATAAAGTCGTGAGAGGCCTCGGCGCTTCGGAGCTCCTCGACACCGAGGAGTCGAAGCCCCCTGCGCAGTGGCTGACAGCTCTGGAGGAGTGGGGTTGGAAAGCTTAGTATAGTTCCTTTACAGGGATAAGGGCTACTATAAAGGTATAAGGGCTACTATAAAGGTTGAGGAGTTGGCAGACCACGGCAGTTTTGCACTGTAAATAACATGGAGAAGGCTTGGTCAGTGATGAAAGAATTAGATGCCAGCTTACCAGGCATACCGTTCGACAAACGCAACGCAGACATCAGGAAACGACTCATTGAACATGCTCAGTTTTACAGACCCCCTTTTGAGTAAAGATATTCGCAACATGAAAGGCAGTCTCAGTGTGAACCTCAGTGTCAACAGCAGTCTTTTAGAGGCCATAGGTGTGAATATTTCTCAATGTGAAGCTCAGTGTGAAACTTGATCTCAAGGACGTGGAGAACTAGATCCCTATATTGTATGAAATGTACCACTCTCATTGTGAAGCTCAATGTGAAACTTGAATCGTCAAGCTTGATCTCAAATGAAATGTGATCACTCAAGTTTCGAGAATATATCAACAGTGAGCCCCGCCCCGCAGTTAGATAGCTGTCAGAAGTAGTTTAGTGCCTACGACTCGAAGCGCCGATCTAGCTTTGAGTTTAGGGTTTACAAAAAAAAGGTTGAGGGTTTAGGTATAGGGGCCAGAATTGGAGTAGGGTTTAGGGGGTATAGTATACCATGATTCTAATAAGGAACCCCAAAACCCTATTCTAATTATCAAGGCCCCTACAGTAGGGTTTTTGGCTTTAATTTAGGGTACAAGGTGGAGGGTTGGGGCTTTAGGGTTTAGCTTTGGGTTGAGAGTGTAGGATGTAGGTGTCGGGTTTTTCGAGTTTAGTATGAGGGAAAGTTTTTGGTTGTCCGGCTCTGTCCCCTAAACCCTAAACCCTAAACCGCCTGTCAGGGTCCTATAAGGAGATTCGGGCTTAGGGCTGTTGGGTGTAGGGCTTTGAGTTTCAGGCTGCAGTTTGGGGCGGTAGGGGTTTAGGGCCTAAGGTTTGGGTTCTTTGGGGTGTTGGGCTCTGGGCCTTTAGCGTTGAAGGTTTGTAGTTGGGTGCCTGCCCTAATTAAGCCTGAACAATTAAGCTACTTGAGTTTCGGATTCGAGTACTCGTAGCGTCTAGTTTGTTTTTTTGTTGCTAGGCACTGGGATTGTGTGTCTAGGGTCTAAGATTTTAGGATGTTTTAGGATTTAGGGACGGGGGTATAGGGCACACCTATACTCTCCTCATGAACTATTCTTCATACCCAACCGGCCTTATGGCTGGGATCCTGTATGAGAGAACGTGACCGGAACGGGAAACAAGATATCCCAAAGGCATATTCTAGTTATACAGGCTTATAGACTATGCTATACTGAACCCGTATAGTAACAGTTATAAGTTATAATCACCCTAAACCCTAAACTCCTCAACCCCCCTTGAAGGGAACCCTTGAAAAAGCCCTAAGCCCTATTCTAATTCGTAAGGCCCTACATTACGTCCTCAGGTCCCCACGTAGTTAGAAGCTCGAGCCCATGACTTGAGCATGAAACAATCAAGGGTTGAAGTTTAGGTTTCAATGCGTAGGGTTTGCAGGGTTTGGGGTTTAGGGTTGTTAGGGCCTATAGGGTTTAGGATTTATGGTTTAGGGTCTAGGGGTTGGTTTTTGGGCTTGGGGGTTTAGGGTTAAGCCTTGCAAAATGTGCGACAAGGATGCCCTAAACTCCACCTGTCCTCTCTACCTAAACCCTAAACCCTAAACCCTAAACCCTGAACCCTAAAGCCTAAACCCTAATAGGGTCGTCCTTGCCGTTAGGATCCTTCAGCGGGGAAACAAGGTCATCAAGCAGGAAGTACAAGGTTCAGGCGAGCCCCCTGAGTCACCAAAAGCTCACATCCTACTCCCGGCAGAAAGGATGCAGCAGGAACTCTGAACCCTAAACCCCAAACCCCAAACCCTAAACCCTAAACCCTAAACCCCAAACCCTGAACCCTGAACCCTGAACCCTGAACCCTGACACAGGAGGAGTGGCCGGGTTCAGGCCGTCGGCTCGTACTTTGCATTGTTCTGTGTGCTTTTTTGGAGCTGGGGTCTGGTTGCAGCTTCCCAGAGAACCCAATACCCCTTAATCTGTCTGGTGCTTAGTAGGGAATGAGGGAATGGGTTATAGGGACTACTATAAGGGACCTTAAGGGACTATCATAGGGATCCATTCCCCCATTCCCTACTAAGCACCAGACAGTAATTAAGGAATATACTTGAAATCATAATAATAAGGGTCCTATAACTAAAGGTATATTCCTTAATTAAAGTATATTGGGTTCTCTGGGTTCATCCAGCGCTTCTCGTTTTGGTGAAGTCTATGGGGGCTTTTTTTACCATGTTCAGGGTTTGAGAGGCTTTTCCGAGAGTTCCGTTGTCGTTGTTGTGTTGGTTGGTTTTCGTTGGGGTGTTGCGCGGGTTGTGATGGGTGTAGCAATATGCTTGAAAGCTTTGGGGCGTCAACTGTGCTTATTGAAGTTTCCTTCCTGATTGTGGCGTTCTGGCATTCGAGTGAAAGTTATGCGATGGTCGGTCTCAATTCTCTGAGGGTTTGGGGGCGCAATTTCGGGGGTTGAGCATGTATCGAGGCCTGGACAACTACCAATAGTATTCCTGAGGGTTCCATAGTATATTTGTAGCGCAGAGCGGGTAGATTTATTCAGGAGCCTGTCTTGGCAGAGGCACCCAGAACCTTAACTCTAAACCGCAAGCCCTAATATAGGGGCCTCAATGATTACCTATACTATTTTGGCATTTGGGGGCTCCTTATTATATAATTCTGAGTATAATGGGCCCCAAAACCTTATTCTAACGATTCAGGCGCCTTCAAACCCTAAACCCCCAACCCTGAACCCTAAACACGGTTTAGGGTTTAGGGGCCCTAAACCCTAAACCCTAAACCCCTGAACCCTAAACCGCAAATCTAGCATTCTCTCCAGGCTTTGTGCTGACAGACCTATCGGCTCTACAGGCACAGACATTACAAGGCCGCAGGGTTGTCTGAGGGCTTAGGCTTAGGGTTTAGGGTTTAGGGTTTAGGGTTTAGGGGTTAGGTCTAGGGTTTAGGGATTTAGAGTTTAGGGGTTTAGGTTTAGGGGTTGAGGGGTTAGGGGTTTAGGGGTTTAGGGGTTTAGGGTTTAGGGGTTAGGGATTTAGGGTTCAGGGCTTTAGGGGTTTAGGGTTTAGGGTTTAGGGTTCGGTTTGTGGTTATTGAGGGCCCCGAGGGTTCATACGACTTACAGGGCGTAGACGCGGGTTGTCAGGATCTTTAAAATCTAGGGGTTTTCTTGTGGTTTAGGGCTTTTACGGTATTAGGGTTTGAAGACTTGTGGGGTTCGGTTTGCACCGCGAGGGCTTCCGACACTCCCGCGACATGTGTTGAGGAAGTTTTTGGAGGTGAATGACCCTAAACCCTAAACCCTAAACCCTAAACCCTAAGCCCTAAACCTCGGAAACCCCAAAAGCACCATCTGTCGCTGCCCCCGGTCCGAAACCCCAGAGCCCCAAACCTTGCCCTAAATCATAGAACCGCCTGAGCCCTAGAACCCCAGAGCCTTTAACCCCTAAACCCTAGCACCCCCCAATAATTCCTGAACCCTAAACCCTAAACCCTAAACCCTAAACCCTAAACCATATCCTGAACCAACCCCAAACTCTAAACCGTGGTTTTGTGGCGTTCGTGCTTTTTGGGGTTCCTACGTATGTGAAGTCGTGAAAGTGCCGAGGGTGCTACCTCTGAACTTGGAGCCTCAGGGCTTAGGCGTTTTTGAGTAGCTGTGAAGATCCTCGCTTTCTGGGTTTAGGGTTTAGGGTTTAGGGTTTAGGGTTTAGGGTTTAGGGTTCAGGGTTTAGGGTTTAGGGTTTAGGTCTTGGATTTAGCATTGCTCTCCGGATTCAATCGAATCCCTATACTACAGGGGCCTAGATAATTACCTATACTATTTTGGGGGGCTCCTTCTTATAATTATAGCATAATGGGCCCCAGAACCCTATTGTAATTATCAAGGCCCCTAAACCCTAAACCCTTATATAGAGCCCTTGACGGAACCCTTTAAAGGAACCCCCCCCCAAAAAAAA